TGTGAAACCAGGGCGGTGGGGTGCTGTGTGATGTGGACGAGTGGGGGAGGTTCCCAGGCTGACCTCCCGGGGCCAGGGGCTGAGCTGTGGCTCCTAGCTTTCACTGGCCTTTGAGATAGCCCCTGGCCGTTGATGTGGGGAGGCTGTCGGCCTGCTGATGCTCGATGCTCGCAGCTGGCTGCTGGACCAGAGCGGGACAGCCTGGCCTGAGAACTAAAACGTGACGCTGTTAGGGATGGCTGTGTCCTGGAAGGAGTGAGAAAGGATGTGTTCAGCAGAGGTTGTCAGGAAAGCAGCCAATAAGCGCTGATTAAGCACCCACTGTGTGCCAGGTGGCCCAAAAGGATTCCTGAGCAGGACTGGAGGAAGACATTTGACCTTTCGGGAATTTCTGTTCAGGATACGTATGACCACACAGCTCCTTCATATCTATATCTATATTGATAGATATATAGACATGTAAGAGATATGAGAGATAGATATGGGAAGGGAGAGAGAGACATGGGAAATTTGAGAGAGACATGGGAGAGGTGTGTGTGTGTATGTATATATATATATATATATATATATATATATATATATATATATATATATATATATATATATATATATATATATAAAATGTATTTACTTGTAACATTCATTCTAAAAAAAATTTGAGTTCTGAATTCTCTCACTCCTCCCTCACCCATTGAGAAGACAAGAAATGTGATATCAATTATACATGTGAAATTATGCAAAACATTTCCATGTTAGCTATGTTACACAAAAAAAAGGCTAAAGAGTGAAAATTGTATGCTTCTGTCTGTATTCAGGCTTCATTGACTCTTTCTCTGGAGGTGGATAGCATTTCTTACCATGGGCCCTTTGGAACTGTCTAGGCCCATTGTACTGAGAAGAGCTAAGTCACTCACTGTTGATCATCATGCTATGTCGCTGCTCACTTCACTTTCCGCTGTTCATACGGGTCTTCCAGGTTTTTCTCAAACCATCCCCCTGGTTGTTTCTTCCAGCACAATAGTATTCCACGACATTCATATGCCACGGGTTGTTCAGCCATGCCCCGATTTTTGGGCATCCTCTCAATTTCCAGTTCTTAGCCGTCACAGAAAGAGCTGCTATAAGTATTTTTGTACATGTGGGTCCTTTCTCTTTTTCTTTGACCTCTTTGGGTATGCACATTTTTATAGCCCTTTGGGCGTAGTTCCAAATTGCTCTCCAGAATGGTTGGATCAGTTCACAACTCCATCACTAGTGCATTAGTGTCCCAGTTTTCCCACATCCCCTCCAGCACTTGTCATGTTCCTTTTCTGTCATGTTAGCCAATCTGATGGTGTGAAGTGGTACCTCAGAATTGTTTTAGTTTGCATTTCTCCAATCAATAGTGGTTTAGAGCGTTTTTTCATGGGAGTATAGATAGCTTCAATTTCTTCTTCTGAAAGCTGCCTGTTCATATCCTTTGACCATTGATCAATTGGGGAATGACTTTTATTCTTATAAATTTGGCTTGGTTATCTATATGTTTGAGAAATGAAGTCTTTATCATAGAAACTTGTGGTAAAAATTTCCATCCTATTTTTCCCCTGTTTATCCTTCCCCATCTCCCCCTCTCCTCAGAAGTTTGTTTGACTTTTGACCACTGTCTCCCTTCTATCATCCTCCTCATCTTCTCACCATTCCTCCTTCCTTCTCCTCCTGTAATCCAGCCTGGATTGGTCCAGGATGATCTCTAAGTGTCCTCGTTTTTTTGCCGCTGCTCACCCCCGACGCAGACCAATCTGGCGCATTCTAAGTCTCTGTAGGAATGGTTTGTGTGTATACATTTGTTGGGGACCATGACCACATCCCTCCCCTTGCCTTGCTGAAGGTCAGTGTGGGCACTGGCCGGGCTTTGGGACATCCTTTCTAGGACAGCTGTGTCTCCTTGGGGATGTGTTCCCCAGGCAGCAAGTCTGGCTCTGTCCACTCTCTAGGACTCCTGGAGATGAAGGGCTGGGTGGGCCTACTGGCCGGCAGGCTGGTTAGGTGTGTTCTCTCTGACCATGAGCCTGACTGTAGAGAGCAGACTGTGGACCCGAGGCAGGGAGTGTGTGTGTGTGTGTGTGTGTGTGTGTGTGTGTGTGTGTGTGTGTGTGTGTGTGTCTGTCTGTCTGTCTGTCTGTCTCCCGGGGAGGCCTCTTTGGGGGGAGGTGGTAGTGCCTCTTTTAAAGAGACAACACACCTGTATGCTGAGTTTTAGCCTTCTGTCAGCTGTGATAGGACACAAGCCTTTCTCTCTGGAGGCCCAGATGACGTGGGGTAGGGTGGGCCTGGCTATCTGCAGTATGAGGGGGTGGACTTGGCCTCCTCTGAGGTCCCTGGCAGCTCCAAATCTCAATCATCTGATGCTGTGATGGGGGCAGTGGCCCCTGCCCCTGGGCCTTGGTCCAGGAGGCAGCTGAGCAGCAGGGGTGGGAGCCAGTGCCTGGGGTGGGGGCAGCAGGAATAGGAGGGCAGAAGAGGGGGAGGAGCTACGTGATGAGGCCCATGGCCTTGGCATATGAACAGTGCTGTGGAGGGGGTCATTAGAGGAAGGACGGGGCACCCACTGGCTCAGTCAGCCCTCCTGGCCTTTTACTGGGAAGAGGACACAGAGGAGGTGTACCTGAGCTCCTGTGCCCTCAGATTCTTGCCCAAGCCTTCATGATTCTTAGTATTTATTGACTTCCTTCCCCTTAAGGGGGAGGTGGAAGGTGCCAATAGTGCACAGAGTACTGTGCCTGGAGTCAGGAAGACCCTGGTTCAAATTCAGCCTCAGTCACCAATTACCTGTGTGACCCTGGGAAAGTCACTGACCCTCTGTCTGCCTCTGTCTCAACTGTAAAATGAGGAAAATAATAGCATCTACATGCCGGGTTGTTGTGAGGATTAAGTATATTAATAGATATATAGAGTACTTTAAGGTTTACAAAGTGCTTTACAAAAATCATCTCATTTGAGCCTAGGGTCTAGAGCCAGACTCTTCCAACCTGCTCATTTTACAGGTGAGGAAATAGAGGCCTCGATGCTGAAGTGAGTTGCCCAAGGTCACTAGGTGCTAAGCCTCAGAGGTGAGATTTGAATCCAGGTCCTCTGGTGTTGAGCCTAGGGCTGTGCCCTTGCCTCAGGCTGGCTCTGGGAGGGCCACAAAGCAGTCTGGAAGGTGCTGTGTTCTGCAGCGGAGTCTGCATACTCCCCTAGGCCGGCACCATCAGCAGCAGAGCTCTCCAGGCCACATGGTGCGTTTGTGGGGAGCGAGGGAAGGGCCAGCCAGGCAGGCATCCTTGGGGACTCTTCCCTGGATCCGGCGCCTCTGTAAGCAGTGCTGAGCATGCCTGGGACACATAGGACCTTCTGAATGTTTGCTTGGATTCAGGGCAGGCACTCTGGCCCTTCCAACCTGAGGCGGGCCTCGCTTCTCCTGCCTGGTGCAGGCTGCATCAGTGACGCAGCAGACGAACAAAGACCCCAGGCCAGCCTGGACATCGTGTCTGTCAGTGATCACAGGAAGGGGGCTGGATGGAAGGGGAGCAGTAAGGGAAGCAAGACAGGGGCCCGAGGCAGACTTCTAGAATGTTCCACTCGGCTTGCCTGCCTGCTCGTTTCCTTCCTCCCGGACCAGCGGGCTGGAAGACTAAAGGGTCAGAGGCTGAGCATAAGCCCCTAGTTTCCAGTGACCCCTGAAGCACAGGCACAGTCGTGCCCTGGGGCTGGCCTGAAACGAGAGTAGCCCAGGAGGGGAGGTTCATGTCTTCACTGGCCTCCTGGACAGAAGTTGGCCTGGTTACAGAGAGGCTTTGCTTTTAGAGCTGAATTCGAATCTGCAAGCCTGTACTGAACGCCTGCCCTGTCCAAGGCCCCGAGCTGGCCCCAGGGATGCCAGGATGCGCGGCGGGCCTCTTGGCCTCAGGGTGGGCAGATGATGGGCACGGGTGGTATACATGGTGAATGTGAGGCGAGTAAAATGGGATGGGGCAAGGGAAGGGGCTGAGAGCCCTAGGCATACTCAGCGGTGGGGGAGATTGGAGACGGCTTTGGCTGAGCCATGCCCAGAGGAAAGAAGAGGGCTTCACTGGGGGCAAGATGAGGAGGAGGAGGAGGCAGAAGTGTGACCACCCTCTGGCTGTGAGTGGGTGCAGTGGGACATCCTACAGGGGGAGGCCAGCTAGGTGGGGTCAGAGCCAGACTGGGCTTAGCCAGGTCTTTCAGTGGCAGCCTGAAGAGTTGGGCTCGGATCTGAGAGGCACCCAGGAGCCACAGCACATTCTGGAGCATTTCCCGGCTGGCCACTCAGAGAGCATTCTGGCCTCATGACTTTGCCTTGTCCCGTGGACCTTTCAGAAGTCTATTTTGCAGCCAGCCTTCTGTGCATTTGCCTTGAGTGCCTTGGGTTTCAGCCACATCTGACAGCAGCATTTATTTCTCAAGCTTCTATGACTTTGGCCTACAAATTCTCACTCTCTGGTTGGACTCCCACTGGGGATTTTTGTCAATAGGAGGGAGTGGGTAGGATTGAGGGCTTAACAAAATCCGGCCCTGGAATATGCCAGCTCTCCTCATTGGGTTCCATGACATGAGTGAGAATGGAAGGTGGGCCTGGCCTCTCAGAACCCTAGAATCTGGAAGGACTCCTTCCGTGTCTGTCTGTCTGCTCCCCAGATATGCATGCCTCCCAGCTTCCTGGTTTCCACGTTGGAGAATGAGCCCCGAGTGTGCCTGGTGCTGGGGGCTTGGGCTCAGGGCTGCTCCCAGGCTCTCTGGAGCAGAAAGGCAGGTGGGGGTGGGGTGTGCTGGGCCCCAACCCCTATCTCCCCCTGCTCCTGGTCCCCTGGAAAGGGTGTGGGTTGGGAACTTGATAATAAGCTCTTAGGTGAGTGAGTTTTTGTTTCCAAGGATGAATCTTCAATGGGCAAGCATTGTCAAGTGGGGATGAGTAATTCTTAGACATTTCATTTACACTGAGGTTTCTTTATTTATTTTAGGAAGCGAGGTGTGTTTCCCTTCCTGGTGACTGTCAGATAAAGAGCCATGGCCTGCATGGTTTGGGATGCAAGGCTTCTCACCAAGCAGGAGACAAGTTGGATTTTAAGCCATTTAAGGCGCTGACTTTTTTTCACCCTCCCCCAGGAGGGTTTTGTGTTGAACCAGCTGAAAAGGTCGATCCAGAATGAACAGTCAGAGCTCGGAAGAGAAAGCGCATGAAGCCCCCCAGCTGGCCTTATTTCGAGGGGAGAAATGTGGGAAGGTGTTGACACCTGAAGGAACATCCACCTTCCTTCCCACACTCTGGGACTCGGCCCCCCACCTCGGCCCACAGGATGCTCAGGAAGCCTGTTTGCACACTCCGGGGGCGGATGAGGAAAGGATTTCCTTATCCAATTCTTGTACCAAAGCGTTTGCAGGGGACGAGGACTTTTCTCAGGAGGCATGGCCTTTGTCCGAAAGGTCAGGGATGCGTGGTGAGGCCCCAGAGGGGTCCTGGGTGAGTGACAAGATGGGTCTGCCAGAGCCAGAATACCGGTATAACAGTGCCCGGGCTCAGAGGGTCCAGCTCTCAGGGCCCAGAGAGTGGAGATATGACTGCGGAGATGCTAACAGGACCCCGAGCCATGCTGTGCTCGGCCTGGAAGAAGGGTGGGAAATGAAGGGCACAGGCCGGGGCACTGTGGCAACGCCTGACGCCCTGGACGCAGCAGCTCCGCAGGGAAGCCTGCCCCACCCGGAGCTCCCGCACGGCCAAGCTATGGCAGCCCCCGCCTGTTCTTCTGACATGTGTGCAAGAGACAACTCGGCTGGCGAGGACTCTGGGATCCCACTGGGGGCCGCTTCCCAGGAGCCTTGTGAGGGCTCCAACACCACGTATCTGGTTATATCAGAGACGGCCATGCAGATAGATGTCCCGGAAGATGCCGAGAGCCAGCGCTCTGCAGAGAAGATGCTCGGTGCTCTCGCCAATGGCTTTCAGCAGGAAATGACCGAAGTCCCCGGGCCACATTTGGAAGGGGTTAACGGTTCATGGACGTCTCTAACAGAAAAGGCTTTTGGCTCACGTGAAGACCAACCCAATGGGGAGCCCCCTTTGCAGACTTTGTGTGCCCCAGCTGTGCCTCTGTCAGGGCACTGTCCAGAGGTTGACCGCCCTGTGGACAGGCCATCTTTCAATGACCCCGCAGAACAGCCGTGCCAGCCAGGAGACCGACTGAATGAGACAGCCTCTCCTGAGGGCAGCCTGGGTGGCGGAAGCCATCCTGGGGGAACCCCGCCGTCGGGAAGTCATCCACAGAGCTGGGAAGTGGCCCCATCTCCTGGGTCTCGGGGGCAGGGAGCAGATGGTGTTTCCAGTCCCACTGATGTTGATTATCGGCCACCAGCTATCCCAGGGTGCTCCAATGAGACTTTTTCTGTCTCGCTTCCCGAGAAAGCAAAGGAGAAACCTTCTGAAAAAGGAAAAATCCCTCGAGAGCTGGCCAAGCACCCCAGCAGGAAAATGCCCCCTATCAAGGGGCTAAAGCCTGCCCTCGGCAAAGTCCTGGGAAAACCTGCACCCAAGCCAGGGAGCCCAGCAGGCAACAGCCTCCACAAGATGGAGAAGATCAGCTTTCCCAGGCCCAACTTCAAGAACGTGAAAGCCAAGGTAATCTCTCGCGGGGCGCTGCGGCCCCGAGAGCCGGTGACTGCTGCTGCGGCCAGGCCCCTGCCGCCTCCAGGGCCCCTGCCGGGGGAGCCTTCCTTGAGCAGCGGGCCTGGCAGAGCCGAGTGCAAGGCCGGTGCCAAGGCAGAGGTCCTCCCAAGTAAGAGCCACAGGCCGCACCTCCTTAAGCTCATTAGCAGCCAGGTCGTGCATGTCACAACGCATTCCAGAAACGCTTGCCGGGAGGCTCCCCGAGCAGCCCGGGAGCCGAGAGCAAACCATGGAGGCGGCCCCCAAGCCAGTCTGTCCACGGCCGGGCACCTGCCAGGGTCTGCGGCTGGAGCCATGGGGCCCCGCCGGGGCGCGGATGCCCCAGGTGCACCCATGAGAACAGCGGAATCAGCTCTGCGAGAGCCTCGAGCTCCCGCCTCCGATGGAGCTAGCACTGAGAGGCAGAAGAGCGCTGACGGAGGCACGCCCGTGCCCCTGGGCACCCAGGAAGCGCAGAGGGAGGTGGTGACTGCTCCGTCTGCCTGCGGTCCCACCCTGGTGAGTTTTCCTTGGGCCTGGTTTGGTGGACAGTGGCCTGGGAGAGCCCTGGAAATGGCTCAAAAGTCACACCCGCAGTTGGGATGATGGTGCGACTTCAAAATGGAGGTGGATTTGTGTTGGAGGGTTCTTAGCCTGTCTGGCAGCACTGAAGTGCTGGACTTGGAGCCAGGAAGACCTGAGTTCAAGTCTTCCTGTCTCCCACCTACTGGGCAAGTTCCCTAAGCTACCCTCTGAGCTCAGTTTCCCCACCTGTAAAATGGGGGCAATAATAGTGGTATTACCTACCCCACAGGGTGCTTATGTGAGTAAATGCATACACTTGCCTTTGCAAACTTGGACTAGCTGTAGACATGTAGTGGTTGATGATAAAAACTCAGGGCTTTGAGTCTTCCCCCACCTCCAGGCTTGGCTGGCATCTCCATTAGGCCACGGAATTGGGGGATGGTGGGCTGGAAGGGATCAGTGGGCGCCGGGTGGGGCGAGGAGTGGGAGGGGAATGGGAGGCCGGAGGAACTTGGCCTGCTGGCATTTGGCACCAATTTGCACTTGTCTACCTAAGTCTCACACTCGACAGGGAGGGTGGGTAGAAAGTAATTTGCTTGTAAATTGTGACATGGGCTGTGTGAGAATCTATCGGACCTGGGGCCAGTGTGAGCTGGATGGCCAGCCCCCAGGGGTCAGCCACCAGGTGAGGAGACCTTGTCTGAGTACTGTGATTAAAGTCCGGATGTTCCCAGGGACTGAAGAAGGCAAACAAGACCGCAAAGAATAATCATAAGAGCAGATCCTTGAATGTGTGCAACCACAACCCTGGGAGGCAGCAATGATTTTTCTCCCCATTTTACAGTTGAAGAAACCAAGGCAAACAGGGGTGAAGTGACTTGCCCAGGGCCACACAGCCAGTAACTATCTGAGGTAGAATTTGAACCTGGGTCTTCCTGACTCCGCTTTCCCACAGAGCTCATTATCTTTGTGGGTCACCTCCAGAATTCCCCGTTTCTGTGGAAGGTTCCACCATTCTTCCGAGCCTCCCGCTTTGTCATCTCAGTGTGGACTCCATCTCCCCACCATCCCTCCAATCAGCAGACAAGCCTCCTGCTTCCTCTTCCCCAGCATCTCTCCCATTGGACGACCTCTCCCCTCCAGAGCTGTGGCCCTGATTCAGACCCTTCCCTGCCACGGTCTGACCAGGCCACTCCCCTGCCCTTCAGAGGCTCCATCGATTCAGCCAGCATCTCTGTGCCGCTGACTGTGAGATCGATGGGTGCAGCCCTAACCTCTCTCCTGACCTCCAGGCTCCCATAGACGTCCTGTAGACGTCTTGGAAGCATGTCCCAAACTGAACTCTTTCTCTCTCCCCCAAACCCTCCCCTCTTCCCAGATTCCCTATTACTGTGGGTGCACCAGCACCTCTTTGGACTCCTCACTGTCTATCGCCAGCCAGATCTAAGCCATGGCCAACGCCTGTTGGTTTTCCCTTTGCGACATCTCCCAAATGCGCCCCCTCCTCTGCTCTGACGTGGCCACCCCCCAGTGTCAGCCTTCATCACCTCACACTGGGACTGTTGCAATGGCTGCTGGGGTGGGGGGGGCAGCTGCCTGCCTCGGGCTCCCCCCACTCCAACCCATCCTTCACTCAGCCACCAAAGCAACTTTCATAAAGCCCAGGTCTGACCACATTGCCCCTCTCCCCAGACACTAAGTAACCCCCAGAGGCTCCGAATCACCTTCAGAGTCAAAGATGGAATCCTCTGTTGGGCCCTTGAAGCCCTTCATCGCCCAGCCTGTCCTTCCTGTCCAGTATCATACTTCGCTCCCCAACACGTCCTCTTCTATCCAGGGCCCCTGGCTTTCTGGCTGTCCCTGAACACAACCCTTGATCTCTGGGCTCTGGGCATGCTCTCTGGCTGTCCCCCCAGCCCAGAATGCTCTCTGCTCTGCCTCCTGGCCTCCCAGGCTTTCTGCATGTCCCTGAACACAACCCTCCGTCTTTGGGCCCTGGGCACGCTCTGTGGCTGTCCCCCCAGCCCAGAACGCTCTCTGCTGTGCCTCCTGACTTCCCTGGCCTCCTTCCAGGCCCATCTCAAATCCCACCTTGTACAGAAGCCTTCCCCAAGCCCTTCTGATCCCAGGGCCTCCCTCTCTTTTTGTTTTGTTTTGTTTTATTTTTTTCTTTTGGCTAGCAATGGGGTTAAGTGACTTGCCCAGGGTCACACAGCTACTACGTGTTATGTGTCTGAGGCCGGATTTGAGCTCAGGTCCTCCTGAATCCGGGGCCGGTGCTCCATCCACTGAGCCATCTAGCTGCCCCTGGGGCCTCCCTCTCTTAATTTTCCCCTGTTATTCTGGTGTGTAGCTTCCCTGGCCTCATTGTTGTCTGCTTTGTCAGACCATGCGCTCCTTGAGGACTGTCTTTTGTCTTTCTGTATCTCCCCAGGTATCAGTCCAGAGACTGACACATACAGTAAGTGTTTAATATGTGCTCATTGACTGCCTGACTGCTTCTGGGATCAAGCGTAGACTGTGTTTTGTTGTTGTTGTTTTTTTTTAAGGCCCTTCACCACTGGGCCTCGACTTATCATCCAAGCCTCATGCGTTACTCGTCTTCTTTCACTCTATGGACTCTCCAGACTGGCCTTCTCTCCAATTCGTACTGACAGTCCTCCAATCTCCACTCTCCATGCCTTTGCCTTGGCTGTTCCCCCTGCCTGGATTGCCCTCCCTGCTTGCTTTTGCTTCATACAGACCCTTCCCTTCTTATTCCTTTTTTTCAGTTTAAAAGACCTTTTCTACTTGCCAGACCTGTTGTGATGATGCATCCTCTAAGGGTGGAGATTTGAGTTAGTCACTGGTGACTTGAAAGGGAAAACTTTGGAGAAGCTCAGGGAGGTGGAGGGCTGGAGCCCCAGGTTCTGCCAAGTCAGAGGGAGGGTCTTCACGTGGGGGCCGGTGGCAGAATGGCCATCGGGGATGACAGAGCGTTTGGGTGCATCGGAGCTCATCCGATGAGCACACCCCTCGACTGGTTGCTAATGGGGTTGTCAGCTTTGGGGGGGGTCCTCTGATGGAGTGCACCAGGCCTGTCAGCCTCGTGCTGCTTAACACTTTGATCAACAATTCTAATGAAGGCATAGATGGCTTTGCTGATCAGATTTGCCAATAGCACAAAGCTGGGAGGGATTATTAGCATGTTGGATGTGGGAAGTAAGATCCCGAAAGATGTGAGCTGCTTAGGATGATGGATTAAATCTGATAAGATGACATTTGACAGAGATAAATATAAAATCCTGAATTTGCATCTTAAAAAATCAGCTCCAGGGTGGAGGAGGGCCTGGCCAGAACAGTGCATGGGTGTCTGTGGGGACTGTGGAGTCAGCATAAAGCAGATGTGCCAGGGGGCGAGGTCATTAAGAGTGCCATAGGGGTACCCACCTACAGAGATATTGGGACCACTCGCTGGCCTCTGACCCGGTCAGACTCTGTTGGGAATAGCATGTTTGGATCCAGACTCTTCACCTTGGAAGTGTCTGGAGGACAGAGGGTGACCAGTATGGTCAGGGGTTTCAAGGCTAGGCTATATTGAGAGTCAGTTGAAAGGAGATGGGGGACGTGACCTCCATCTTTTTAAGTATGGGGAGAGCTATCCCGTGGAAGAGGAATTAACTTTGTTCTGCTTGGCTCCAGAGGGTAGAACAAGAGCCACGGGGGTATGGGAAGGTGCACAGATGCAGGTCCAGGGAAACACTTCCCACCTCCTAAGGCTGGTGTCCCTGCGTGGAAGGGGCTGCCGGGAGAGATGATGCTTCCCCCTTACTTGGAGGGGTTCAAGCAGAGGCCACACGGCCATTTGTGGATTGGGTCCTGTTGAGTTAACGGTTGGAATCCAGTCTCTGAGGTCCCTTTAAATGCGATCCCGTGATTCTAGGATGGAGGGTCAGTCTGCCTAAGCTGAGAGCACTTCCTGGCCAGAGAGTGACAGGGAGGAATGTTCAGCTGTCACTTCTGGGGCTGCCTCCAAGGAGATGGAGGCTGCCGTCCCCTCCCCACACCGCCGGGAGCCTTGAAACTCGGAGAAAAGTTGGCTTCTGTGTGCTGACCAGCTGCGTGCGCTCCGTGACCGAGGATGGTTAGAAGTGTCATCTGAGGAATCATTAGACGCACATCCTTCTGGGTCCTGCAAGGATGAGGAGGTGCTGGAAGAGTCTCTTAGGGACCCTTCAGGGATCCAGGTGGTTAAAGCTCATTTGTTAGCTTTGGACCTGTTGGCCTTCAGCTTTCTAAAATGCCCTTGGGCTTTGGTTGTCTGTCCAACTGAGCCCTCATGGGTCGTTCTAGAGTCTGAAGGAGAGGCTGGCCCAGCTCCGGGAAGGCCTTGCACCTGAGCGAAGCGTTGGCCTCATTCTTCCCTGGGTAGGGCGGGAGGCTTTGTGGCTCGGGGGGCATAGCCTAAGCTCGTGAGGGAGACCTTGCGTGTTAGCAGATTTATGGTGGAGAAAGGGAACTCCATCATTCGGTGGCCATCGGGAGAATGGGTATCCAGAAGCTTGGACGTTGTGCCCCTAAATATGAAGGGGGAAGACCTCCTCCTTGGAGCACTGATACTCTTCCGCCTCCCTCCTCAGCCAGCATTTACAGCAGGAAATTTATTCCCAGGCCCGAGACGTGGCCTGTCCTTCTTGTCCGTGTTTTCAAGTCCGAGCTGAGGTTGAGACTAGGTCCTCTTGGGAGGTTGTAGCTGATTTCTGCTGCTTAGATTGAGGCGGGGCAGTGCGGGCCAAGCCCTTTCTCTCACTGTGTTCCCATCCTACCCTGGGTCAGTATTGGTGGATACATGGAGGCTGGCCCTGGGTTAGGCCTGAGTGGGGGACCCAGGGCATCAGGGCTGACCTGAGCCTTCTTGAGGAGTGTTAGGCCTTTGTATGGAGTCCAGCTCCTTCATTTTACAGATGAGGAAACTGAGTCACAGAGCAATTAAGTGACTTGGCCTGTTTCCCATAGCTAGTAAATATCTGGGGCAGGATTTGAGACCAGCTCTTCTTGACTCTAAGCCTGGTGCTCAAAACCTAGAGGTGTTCATGTTGGACATTATGATGGACACAGAGCCAGGCATTTGGACTATTCACTCAAATGGAGTTAGCTGTTAGTGGCAGGAGAAGGCTGCAGCTGAATCCTGTATTTTAAGTCCCAAGTGCAAATTACCATTAATGAGACAGTTTGGCTGGTGTTTGCCAAAGTGAAGCATGCCTCTAGGTTCCTGGCCTTCCCCTAGAGTATTAAAGGTTAAGCGGGCCTCCCTTTGAAGAGAAGGTTGTCTGCCTGGCAGTTTGGGATCATGGCTTCTGGTCCAGCTCCCGCAGCTTTGCCCTCTACACATTGGCACTCAGCCCGGCTCTCGGGGGTCTGGTCGGGACACTGCTGAGGGAGGCTCTTCCCCGGGCCCTGGCCCCCAGACCCACCTGCTCCTCCCTCCAGTCTTTCTCCCAGAGGCTCCCAGGTTGGGACTGCGGTCAGCTAGGCAGCTTTGCCCTTTGGAACAGGTGGTCCCCGCCTTTGTCTAGGACTGAGAAACAAAGGGGCCTTTGGTATCACCTTGTCCTGACTGTCAGGCTTCTCAGTGGGGAGAAACTGAGGCTGTGCAGTGATTTCTCCAAGGGCACAGAGGCAGTTAGGGACAGGGTGTGAATCCAGATCCTCTGACTCTTTCTTCCAGCCAGATTTTTACTTTTAGGTTTTCCCTTTAAAAAAAATCATTCTATTAAACAAAGTGCTATTTAACTGTTTATCTCTCAAGGAACCACCACTAGGAAACAAAAGAGGATCAGCCCAGTTATGGGAATTAAATGTTTTCTGTTTTCCCACAGGCTTCCACACCGAAATCGCCACCCGTGGCTGGCAGAAATGGGTCTAAGCATGACCCCTTGGGACTCAGTAAAATCCCTGTTCCCAAGATGAAAGTCTGGCCGTCAGTTTCCTGTCGGAGGCGAAGCACCGCCGAGTCCAGGACTTTCCACGCCGAGCGCGCTTTGTCCCCCCCGAGAGCCAGGCGCGTGTCCAGTTCTGGTAAGAATCGGTGGCCCTCGGCTGCTGGCTTCCCCGGCTGGGGTGGCACGCTTCTCTTTGACCTTATCACCTGCCTCTGCTCTTCTGACCAACTGGAAGGTGCCAGCGAGGATGCTCTCTGGTTTGAGCCACTCCCCGGGTTCTCATCTGTCTCCTTCCCACCAGCGCGGCCCCGTGTCTTCTCCTCTTAGCGTCTCAGTGGGAGCCAGGAGGTTGAAACTCGTGCCCTGGGTGACACAGCCAGTGTGTGTGGGGAACTTGAACCCGGGCCCTCATGGCCGCAAGGATGGCTCTCCTGTCTGTGCCTTCACACTGCCTCTCCCAAATGCAGGCCTGGTGTGGTGCTCTGATCCCGGTTCTTGGCTGTGCAGGGATATTTCCCTACAGCCTGGGATATGGATGATTGCCCAGGAAGGCCCAGCCTTTAGACTGATCGTGGGTGTAAACACCTGGTTCTGGAATCCAGAGTTGGGTCTCTGAGGGCAGGAGCTGGAAGCTACCTGTGTAGGCCTGCCTCCCTTCTGTGTTGCTTCTGTACCAGAAGTCCATGCAAGATGTGGGCAGGGTGATCGTAGAATGGCAGGTGGATGTGCCCGAGGCCAGGCCCATTTTACAGGAACAGTAACTGAGTCCTAAAGACAGGGAGAGACAGGGGTTAGTGGGAGGGGGCTTCAAAGCCTCCTTGGCCATTTCCAGCTGAGAGTGTTGGCAGTGGTCTTCAGGATGGGAAGCTGCCACAGGCCTTGTGTGAGGGGCCGGGCCACAGAGCTTGACGAGTGACCGTCTTTCTGAATGTCGGGCAAGAGGGAACGTGGTGGAGGAGGGAAGCCAGCCAGGTCGTGGAGGCCTTTTCCTTCTCTCCGCCTCACACTTGTAGCCGCTTGAGAGCCTCCACTGGCCTGGGTTTTAGCTTTCCCCCATAGCAAGGTTATGAGGTCGGCCAGCCTCATTGGGGGACACCCCTCAGCTGGCTCATTGACGTGTTACCCTGCTAAGCGGAGGTCCAGGGTAATCCAGGACTCTCTTTGCATAGTCCTCATGAATAACTACGGTCACGATGTCTCTTTTATTAATTAACCTGCCCCAGTTTATTATGTATTATTTAATAAACTAGAAAAAACCCTTTTCCCATAAGCAGTAGAAAGCATATCTATCTGTATAGCAAAACCCCTAATTTCCTGTCATTAACTGGACATTAAAGTTACTGGCTATACCATTTATGGACAGTGCAATCAATCCTAACACAAATATGTAAACTATTTCCATCATTTTAGCTACAAATATAAGATTAAGGCTGGCGTTGCCTCTAGCCATCACTGCAAACGATCTCATCTTTCAGTTCCCCCAAAATACCAAAGAAAAACTTTTTCAAGGATCTTTTTTTGGGGGGGGGTTAGGCAGTAGGGTTAAGTGACTTGACCAGGGTCACACAGCTAGTAAGTGTTATGTGTCTAAGGCCGGATTTGAACTCAGGTTCTCCTGAATCCAGGGCTGGTGCTCTATCCACTGTGCTACCTAGCTGCCCCAAGAATCATTTTTGCAAGATCAAGATTGACATAGTTTCATTAGGAAATAATATCCCTCCAGCATCTTTAAGCTAAAAGCTAAAAAGTTTAAGTTAAAACTACCACCTCTATAACATTCCGCTTGACCCTTAAAGACAGAGTAGCAGACCTGCTGCTTCTGTGAGAGAAGCTAGTGAAACGGGTGTTATACTAAGATAAGCAGGCAGGGATCCTGAGGGCAGCTGAGTGGGTGTGGGTTGGTCACCTTCAGAAAAGACCCAGGAGAATGGGGTCAGTGTGGCCTCCACTCTCGTCACCACCCTTCAAAGGTGTGTGGACAGGAAGGAGAGAGGTCAGTCATACTCTTAACAGCTGACTGGGGAGGGACTTCAGTGAACATTTAGCCCAATCCACACTCGATCAGAAACTCCCCACTCTGGCATCCCTGATGAGTCTTCACCTGAAGAGTGATGGGGGCCTTCCTCGCCAATGCAGCCCTTAGACCACTCTTTTTTTTTTAAATTTTATTAATTTATTTTGATTTATCAACAATCACTTCCATGTGCTTTTGAGTTGAAAATTTTTCTCCCCCTTCCTCCCCAAGATGGCTCACAATCTGATATAGGCTTTACATTTATATTCCTATTGAACATATTTTCACATTAGTGAAGTTGTAAGTAAAAATTAAAACCAATACGAGGAACCATCAGAAAGATGAAACAAAACTCAACAGAAGGTAAAAATAAGTGATAGCGATTCGACTTCCGTAGTTCTTTCTTTGGATGTGGACAGCATTTTCCATCCCGAGGCCTCTGGAGATGTCTTAGATCCTTGTAATGCTGAGAGAAGGTCTCAGTTTAACAATATTAGTCATCACACAATGTGGCTGTTATTGTGTACAAAGTCCTCTTGGTTCTGCTCACTTCACTCAGCATCAGACCATACAAGTCTTTCCAGGTTTTTCTGCAGTCAGCCTGTTCATCATTTCTTACAGCACAATAGCATTCCATTACATTCATATACCACAATCTGCTCAGCCACTCCCCAGTTGATGGGCATCCTCTCAATTTCCAATTCTTTGCCACCACAAAAAGAGCTGCTATGAAGATTTTTGTACATGTGGGCTTGGACCACTCTGATCAATGGCTTTCTGCCGACCATGGGGTGAGGAGCCATGGTCAGCAAGGACGTGGTGAGCCACAGGGCTCATCAGTAGAGGGGCAGGTCCTCCTTGGGCCGCAGCTGTGGGAGCTGTGTGGTGCCAGCTTGGTCAGGAAAGCCTCCAGAAGTCCTCCTAGAAGGACTAGGGATGGCAGTAGGAGCAGTGGCCGCCTCCACGTGGGCCTGGATCATAGAACTTGCTCTGCCAGCCGTCTGCTATATGCTCTAGGACAAACCTCACTCCCCTTCCTGGGCCTCACTTGTCCTCTAGGAAGTGGGCAGATTGGGCTTGGGAGACTCCAAGGCTCCTTCCCATGCTACAGTCCTGCTTTGGAGCTAATTTGCCTCAGTTGCTGAGAAAAGTGAATGTCTCTGGAAGGCTCCCAGAGACCTGGTAGGAAATTAGAGAGAAGAATTGTGCTCCGTGACCAAGCACCCAAGCAGAGGGCTGGAGGGAGTGGGGAGAGCTCTTACCGCTACATCTCTACCCAAATCTGCCTGGCCCCCATGACCCAGGGAGGCTCGGTGGCCGACTTCACACAGTACTGTGGGGTGGGCGCCGTGCTTGGGAAGACCTGGGCTTCTGGGTCTAGGGCTGCAAGGGACCTCCAGGGCCTTCTGGCCCAGAGGAGGGGGGCCTGGGGAGTCCTGGGGAGGTTCAGTGACTCGCCTAACTTGTGTCAAATCCACCTGTCCAGGAAGGGGACAGAAAAGGCCAAGCTTTTGTAGTCTTCCCCTCCGTGACCTTTTGGGGTACAGAACCAGCCTTCAAGGAGCCCTAGAATCTCCCTTCTGACCATTAGTGACACACTTGGGGCTGGACCTAGCCATGCTGTATTTGTTAGGAATTCACTGCAAGGGGCAGCTAGGGGGTGCAGTGGATTGAATACCAGCCCTGGAGTCAGGAGGACCCAAGTTCAAATCCAGTCTGTTACAAGCCGGAATGGAGAGTGGGTGGCCTGGGGGGAGGCAGGGGCTGGTCACTAAAGAGTTAAGAAGGCAGAACCAGCCAAGTGTCCGATGGGCCGTGGGTCTGTGCGTCTGTGCTGGGCACACAAAAGAGAGCCTGTTTGGTGGGAAATGGAAACCAAATGTGTGTTGGCTAGGGGTCCTTCCCCCTCCCTCTTCCCCTCCCCCAGGAAGCTCCAAGGGAAGCAGCCAGAATTCCTGGGGCCGATTCTTCACTTTCCATCAATTCCTTCCTGGGACCGAGCTGGACAGCAGCCTTGAGTGGTCCCAGAGGGGAGCCTGGAGAGGGGGCCAGGGGCCCTTTCAGAGGCATGTGTGAAATCAGGCCCAGGCCCTGTCTTTGATGCTTTTCAGATGTTTGTGGTCCTCAGCCCACGGTGCGCAGGAAATGCCTCGGGTCATGGAGAAGCGTGGTTGGTGTGTCTGAGCGTGTTTGGGGGGGAGGGTACATTCCTGTCTCTAGAAGTCTCGTTGAACTGTTTTCAGGCCTGGTGCCCAGGGCTTCTGCTAGAAGAGTGACTCCCGTGAAGCTTCACTCAGAGTTAGAGTGAGGCAGTATGGAGCGGTGGCTAGGGCTTTGGCCTTGGATATGGGAGGACCTGGGGTTCAAGTCCAGCCTCGGATACTCTGTGACCCTGGGCAAGTCACTTCATCCTTCTGTGCCTCAGTTTCCTCACCTGAAAAATGGAGGGAAGTTTGAGTTCGGTGACCTCCAAGATTCCTTTTGTGATCCTCCGGTTCTCCCAAGCGTGTGACCTTGCATGGCTTCAGGAGGGATGATGAGGGATGGCCCATGCCTCTGATGTTTTCCCTCAGGGCTGGGGACCTCAGGAAGCTCAGCCTGGTCTGCTGCAGTGGTGGGGGGCAGCCTGGGTATCAGTGATGATTAATTGTTATGGGCTTCATTAATCCATGAAGTGATCAGTTGTGGTGATGAGCCTGGTCCCACCATGAGCTAAATCCCCTCTCCACTCTGGGCCTCAGCATCCACCTCTGTACAATGGGCTTACATGGTGTTAGTCTTCTCACGACCTGCCCCACTGGGTTGTTGTAAGGAGACTCCTTTCAAAACACATAAAACACTCTGTGTGTGTGTGTGTGTGTGTGTGTGTGTGTGTGTGTGTGTGTGTGTAGGGGGGGCTGCCATATTTAGCTCCTCAGACTAGCACAGTGCTAGGCATGGGGATGGGGAGAGAGAGGAGTCTGGAGGGATGATGGCCAGGGAGTCCCTCGCCAGCGTCCAGCTTTGACCTTCTCATGCACTGCTCTGCAGGAGGCTCTGAGGAATCATGGAGAGTGGCTGCTTATGTACCAGCCAGTTGGCCAGAGCTCACTGGCTGGTCTGCAGCTAGGTTCTGGGCCTGG